GCGCTGTAGAGGAATTTTGGCCCACTCATCTTTGCAGAATTGTTGTAATTCAGCCACATTGGAGGGTTTTCGAGCATGAACCGCCTTTTTAAGGTCATGCCACAGCATCTCAATCGGATTCAGGTCGTGGACTTTGACTAGGCCACTCCAAAGTCTTCGTTTTGTTTTTCTTAAGCCATTCAGAGGTGGACTTGCTGGTGTGTTTTGGATCATTGTCCTGCTGCAGAACCCAAGTGCGCTTCAGCTTGAGGTCACGAACAGATGGCCGGACATTCTCCTTCAGGATTGTTTGGTAGACAGCAGAATTCATGGTTCCATTTACCACAGCAAGTCTTCCAGGTCCTGAAGCAGCAAAACAGCCCCAGACCATCACACTACCACCACCATATTTTACTGTTGGTATGATGTTCCTTTTCTGAAATGCCGTGTTACTTTTACGCCAGATGTAATGGAACATACACCTTCCAAAAAGTTCAACTTTTGTCTCTTCAGTCCACAGAGTATTTTCCCAAAAGTCTTGGGGATCATCAAGATGTTTTCTGGCAAAACTGAGACGAGCCTTTATGTTCTTTTTGCTCAGCAGTGGTTTTCATCTTGGAACTCTGCCATGCAGGCCATTTTTGCCCAGTCTCTTTCTTATGGTGGAGTCATGAACACTGACCTTAATTGAGGCAAGTGAGGCCTGCAGTTCTTTGGATGTTGTTCTGGGGTCTTTTGTGACCTCTTGGATGAGTCGTCGCTGCGCTCTTGGGGTAATTTTGGTCGGCCGGCCACTCCTGGGAAGGTTCACCACTGTTCCATGTTTTCGCCATTTGTGGATAATGGCTCTCACTGTGGCTCGCTGGAGTCCCAAAGCTTTAGAAATGGCTTTGTAACCTTTTCCAGACTGATAGATCTCAATTACTTTGTTTCTCATTTGTTCCTGAATTTCTTTGGATCGCAGCATGATGTCTAGCTTTTGAGGATCTTTTGGTCTACCTCACTTTGTCAGGCAGGTCCTATTTAAGTGATTTCTTGATTGAGAACAGGTGTGGCAGTAATCAGGCCTGGGTGTGGCTAGAGAAATTGAACTCAGCTTTCCAAAGATGTGATAAACCACAGTTAATTTATGTTTTAACAGGGGGGGGGCAATCACTTTTTCCACACAGGGCCATGTAGGTTTGGATTTTTTTCCCCTTAACATTAAAAACCTTCATTTAAAAACTGCATTTTGTGTTTACTTGTGTTATCTTTGTCTAATATTTAAATTTGTTTGATGATCTGAAACATTTAAGTGTGACAAACATGCAAAAAAATAAGAAATCAGGAAGGGGGCAAACACTTTTTCACACAACTGTATAACCTTTTGATGGAGCCAGGCTTTGTGCTAAGCTAGGCTAACAAGCTGCATGTTCATTCTCAATATGAGTGTTTGAATGTCTCTTCTTCTTCTAACCTTTTCTTATGCTGCGTTCACACCAAACGTGAAGTGAATGTCACGTAAAGTGACACTTTTTCACACAACTGTACATGTATAAAAAGCCCCAAAATAAACTTTAATAATACTCATACACACTTAAACGTTGGCAGTATATCTGGTTTCTCATTTAAACAATTGCAAAGCTGACGACTTTAGATTTAGAACCCATCGATGTGCAGTCTTCTTCCTCATCATTCTGCTGTTTTTTTGCGATAAATTAGAATGTATTATTTGAAACACATGTTTATGAGTTATAGTTAAGCTGAAGGAGACGAGGTTGATGTTGTGACGCTTGTTTTTTTCGTCTGCAGCCATCACTTCCTGTTCTGTACACGCTGTCTAGCCAAGCAACCCATGAGGCGGTCCACCTCCTCTGCAGGATGCTGGTGTTCGACCCGGTGAGTCACTCCTGTTGAAAAATAGATTCATAATGAATGAAGCCCATTCAGTGAGTCACTGAAATATAATTATGGATATGGACCATAAACGCAGTGCACAAGTAGGCGTTCACGTCATGAAGCAAGTAACAAAGTCCAACAGAGACGATGTGTTCACACCACGGCTTCAGATGATTAAGATAAGATTGAACTTCAAGAAAGATTACAACAGAAGAAGAGCAGGAAACAATAGAATATGAACATGAACAATAGAATAATAGTGTGTTCCGGTCTCCAGTCTTGTTAATCTCGTGTGTTCCAGTCTCCAGTCTTGTTGATCTTGTGTGTTCTGGTCTCCAGTCTTGTTAATCTCGTGTGTTCTGGTCTCCAGTCTTGTTAATCTCGTGTGTTCTGGTCTCCAGTCTTGTTGATCTTGTGTGTTCTGGTCTCCAGTCTTGTTGATCTCGTGTGTTCTGTTCTCCAGTCTAAGAGGATCTCGGCGAAGGACGCCCTGGCCCACCCGTACCTGGACGAGGGTCGGCTGCGGTACCACACCTGTATGTGCAAATGCTGCTACACCACATCCTCCGGCCGAGTTTACACCAGCGACTTTGAGCCCGTTACCGACCCCAAGTTTGATGACGGCTTTGAGAAGAACCTGAGCTCCGTGAGACAGGTCAAAGGTCAGCTGATCTGAGTTACTGGTTGGCTTCATGTTTGATGTTAAAAGACATTTCAACATTTTTAAACATTGATTTTAAAGAAAAATAGCAGTTATGGAACCTTTAAACTCTTTAACCCTCTGAACTCAAAGCAGTTTCTGGTGTTCTTTTGCTCCCGTCACGTGTTTCTCTCTGAGGTCTCGTTTTTCACTTCAAAATAAAAGTCCTGCTCCTCTATAGAAACAGAACCACCATGAGTAGAAGTAGAGAGAACTAGAACATGTCTTTAGTGCAGAACAACACATTATGATGACATCAATCATTACATTTATTTTATCATTTATTATACAAAAATTGGCAAACAATAAATCTATATATATATATATATACACAGTATATACCATGTTTACAAGTTGCAAATTGAGGCTCTAACTGCTATTTTTAATATACTATTCACATATTTACATCCTCTACTTCCAGCCTCTCTCCTCTCTTCTCCTCTTCTCTCCTCTCTTCTCCTCTCCTCCTCTCTCCTCTCCCCTCTCTCTTCTTCTCCTCTCCCCTCTCTCCTCTCCTCTCCTCCTCTCTCCTCTCTTCTTCTCCTCTCCCCTCTCCTCTCCTCCTCTCTTCTTCTCCTCTCCTCCTCTCTCCTCTCTTCTTCTCCTCTCCCCTCTCTCCTCTCTTCTTCTCCTCTCCCCTCTCTCCTCTCCTCCTCTCTTCTTCTCCTCTCCTCCTCTCTCCTCTCCTCCTCTCCCCCCTCTCTCCTCTCCTCTCCTCTCTCCTCTCCTCTCTCTCCTCTCCTCTCCTCTCTCTCCTCTCTGTGTTCACTTCCTGTAGTTCAGTCAGAGTGTCTCCTCCTTGTAGTCACATGACTGTTGGTCTCAGATGAATCAATCATGACTTCATAGTTTCACACTTTAATGTTTTTACACATTCATGTTGAAGTGAACTCTTTATTAGAGGAGACATTTATAATGACAACATGAAGAATAAAATGATTTAGATGAAATATCACAACTTTAAGCTTCGTTTCGGCTGCTCTTTCTGACGGAAGCGTTCGTCACACATGATGTGTCCAAAGACCGTCGGAAAGATACAAATCTGTTGTTTATGACGGTTCTTACAGCTTCTAGTTGTGATGAACGCTGCAGTTTTGAAGATTGTTTAAAGAAAACACTTTCATCCCAGCGGAGGGTTTTGGTGTTCAGAGGGTTTTAAGTGAAGCAGCTGCTGCTCCTCAGAAGCAGAGCTTCAGGTGTTAGTCACTACGAGCATCACCTGGAGGCAAGTCTCATACAGTCAACTACAGCCAAAGGGTTTGACGACTGCTTCCTCACTGTCTGAGAAAGACTTGATATTGAACTTAAATGGTGAAACGACATTAATAAAGAAAGACGAGCTAAGAGGAATGTCTTTAAAAGAAATGTAAACTTGCTGTTCTTTGCTGCTGACTCGTGTTCTCCTCTCAGAGATCATCCATCAGTTCATTCTGGGGCAGCAGAAGGGGAGTCGAGTGCCGCTCTGCATTAACCCTCAATCAGCTGCTTTCAAGAGCTTCATCAGGTAGGAGGCTTTATATATATATATATATATATATATATATATATATATATATATAT